CCCCCCCCCCCCCCCCCCACACACACACACCGGGGTGGTTGACACCTGAATTCAATAGATGTAGTTGAGACACAATGTGTTAAAGCAGGGCACTAAGGGACACTGTAAACTGGTTAAAGATGGCAAATGCATAGTTTTTCTTTTGTTTGTGAGATGAATTCCAGCCATTTTTTCTTAATTATCGGGTTTTCAACTGAAAACTAATCCCACACGTCACAAATTTAACTCAAACAACTTCATTTTTACTGCACTGAAACTTTGGTGAGAAGATTGAGTTTTAAAACTGAATTCAAGATTGAATTTTTGGGGCCGTTTTACAGCCCTAAAAAATCCCTGAAAAACCCCCTGCTTGAGTGGCTTCACCAGTATGTTCCTGGACATTCTGCACGGTGGGCACAAAAGACAGCAAATTCGGCCAGGTACAAATAACTTTCTGTCGTTAGTTTGGAATATCACGAAACTTCCTCACAGAATAGAACTTGCCATTACTAAAAATCCTATCATTTTTGTTTTTCGATTTTGTCACATTTTGGCGGGAAAATGACATGCCAACTTTGGCGCCAAAACATTAAACACAAGCTAACAACTTGCTAGTAACTTTTTTGAAGAGATTGTCCCATAAGGGTCTCAAAACTGCAAAAACATTAAAAATACAACAAGGCAGTGTGAAGATATGACGATTCAAAGTTCGAAATAAATCTATTTTTAGTAACAAAATGGCAGATTTTTCAGACTTTTAAGCACCATATCTTTGCACTGCTTTGGCATATTTTCAATGTTTTTACAGTTCTGAGATCCTTATAGGACAATATCTTCAAAAAAGTTCCTAGTATGTTCTTAGCTCGTGTTTAATTTTTTGGCGGCAAAGTTGGCACGTCATTTTCCCGCCAACATGTAACAAAATAAAAAAACAAAAATGATAGGATTTTTAGGAATGGCAAGTTCCATCCTGTGAGGAAGTTTCATGATATTCCAAACTAACGTCAGAAAGTTATTTCTACATGTCCGAATTTGCTGTCTGGAGTAAAAATTTTCATATTGGCAGTGATAATAAATCATTTGAGAATTTATGTAAACAATATAGTAAGCACTGCACAGTTCAATTTGCTTACTCACAGTCAGAAGAACTGTATCCTAGACAAATTCTGGGAATATCACTATGTCCATCATCAGAATTAAATTAACCATCAGAGCTTGCATCATCATTAATAGATTCATCACTGCCACAATCTGATTCTGCAATACAATGTGAAATTATTTCCCATGTAGCTTTGGCATGATCATCACAGAAAAAACTGAACTGTTGCACCAGAGTTTCAAGACTGTCTATGACCTTAATCTCTGCTACGATTTTCTCTATTAAACCTCTTGAAAAACCAGTTGCAAGGTCAAGTCCTGTTAATAGCTTATCATGTGAAATGTTATTTGCAAGCTGTGCTCGATAACTCAGCAGGTCACTTCTAACTGCAACACATCTTTTTTTTTATATGACATATTTCTCTGTAGAAGTATCAACGCTAGATGACTCCTTATTCTCTAGTGATGTTAGATATATCTCTATTGGTGACATGTAGCGAGCATAGTCACACTTAACACCACATGTGCAATTACTTTCGGGGCATGTGCAAAGACATGCACATGATTCTGCACAAATATCACAGCAACTGTGCCCGATCACTGCCTTAGTAGCTTCTTCAGAAAAAGGTTTCATCAAAAAATCCGACAACAAACAATTCTATTCCTTACATACTCTTTAATTGGTTTTGTGATATTTTTGCTTCTTGTTGATCCACTGTACTTTAACAGGACAGCATGTGCTGTTGAATTACTGTCCCTGCCAACACGTCCGCATTCTTGCAAATAATCATCAAGGGCACTAGAAGGACCCATGTGGATCACCAGTTCAGCTCCTTTGACGTTAACACCCATTCCAATCGCTATAGTACAAAAAACTGCACAAACACTCCCATTGGGTTTGACAATTTCCTTTCCAACCACCTGCTTAACAGGCGTATGTGTCTTTTTATGGTACATGGCATAAAGTCTAGTTCTGTCATCCATCGGTTCTTTGCCACTTGGAAGAACATATCCCTTTGGACCGAGTGATTGGTTAAATACCTCATACAGTTCTCTGACATGTGAATGCTTGCGACAAAATATAAGGACCTTTCTGGCATTGAGTTGTTGTGTAATAACAACTGTTATCAGGTCCGTAAGTAGAATTTTAGCTGAGAAACCTAACTGCTGTTGCTGTTAATGCCACAAATGGCAGTCCTTGCTCCAAAATAGGTCCTATTGAATAGTAACACTGGTCAAGAAAGACAGAAAGTTAAATTAAACTTGTTTTATTCACATAATTTCGCTTTAAAATATAAAACTAAAATTTCACCCAAAGGCTATCATTTCAACTTCGAGCATGCTGGTCTCTTCACTTCCTGTCATGTGACAATGGAACTAAGCTGCTAAACTGAAGGGGGGAGGGGTAGTACTTTAAAACCCCTAAACAGCTATACCCCTCACACTCTCCCACACTTGTGTCCATCTGCACGTTATTCCAACGAAACTCGCATACTATTGTCTATAGGGTGATCAAGCCTAAACGAATGTAAATGCAAGTTTTATCTGTTACTACTAGCACCGTCCTTGTTTAATACAGTTCAGAGACTGTTCATTTTTTCTTTGCATCTTTTATGCAGCATCACAAGTTCAATTCTTTTTCTTTCCATAAATATCTAAAATATTAACTAAAGTATCTGATAAACATCTATTATGCATATGCTCAGCTTGGACCACCGTAGTGGACAGGTGGATGCCAGCACAAAGGTGGAGTAGGAATCTGGGGAATCGGTTGTGGAAAGGGTAGGTAATTATTGGGAAAACGTTGAGGGTAAAAATGATTGGGAAAAAGTTGAGATGTCTGTCAGATTACCCATTGCATCGTAATTTAGCATGTTTGGTGGCCGTCGCATCTGAACTGACCGTCGAAGCATGGCTTCCTCTGTCAGGCCTTAAAATATTGGTCGGTCACAGACATTGTCCAACCCATTTGTGAAATTGTCCGACGTAGTGAGGAAACCACCGGAAATTCTGTCTGACGTAAGTGAAACTGAGGTTTATTGTTTGTCCGACTTGAGTGTATTGGTCAAAAGCTCAAAAAACCAGTGTCTCTATAACTCGATAGAAACACAGGAAATTTTCACACGGGTTGCATGGATTGTGCGGGAGTTTAAAAGACCAAATACAAAAAATATTTAATTTTGGAAAAAGTTGAAAAACGTTCCGAAACGCAGAAGAACCGTTACAAAAAAAAAGGCAACACTTTGCTAACTTAGAAAGCCAAGACCTAAAGCACAAAGTATAATTATAGTACACGTTGTATCTGTTTGCCTGTTTGCCAAGGTAAGATATTTTAATTTTACTTTGTCTTTTTAAATAAATATTTCCTCGCGACATTTTTAATCATGTTTACTATAGTATAGTTTTTAATCATGTTTAAACGTTCACTAACTATTTAAAACAGTGCTTTCTTTGCATGCAAGCATATACGTTGTTGAGTGAATTATATACTTAGTAAAGTAAGCCTGTTAAGTGCTGTCTGTTGTTTTGACAGCGATATACTTGTTTACTTTGCCATGCTTTTATAATTATTCTTTACACGAACGTATATTAAGGTGGAATTAATATTTGAATGAAAGCAATTAAAATCAATAAATTTATCTTTTCTATTGTTTTTAAAAGGCTATTTAATAAAGGAAATAGAAAACATTTTTTTCGTGTTCCTATAGAGTTAATAGAAACACTTGTGAAAGTTTGCGAGAAACTCGAAATTACGTGCAAACACTTCGCGTTCCCACGCAATTTCTCGTTTCTCCCAAACTTTCACACATGTTTCTATAACTCTATAGAAACACGGAAAATGTTTTCTATTTCTTAACAGAAAAATAGATTATAGTTCTCTAAACAGGCATGGGGTACACTTAAATAAAAAGGGTAGCATCATTATTAGCAAGAATTATAGTAATTATTTTAATAATTAATGGTTGAGGGTAAAACGTAGGCATGCCCTTAGGATATGGAAGAAAAGGGGAACAAAACATCTCTTGTGGAGGGAACAATCCTTCATTTACCGTATGTACACTTGACAAGTGGCCGTCACGTCTGAACTGACCATCAAAGCACAGCTTCCTCTGTCAGGCCTTAAAATATCGGTCGGTCATGGACATTGTCCGACCCATTTGTGAAATTGTCCGACGTAGTGAGGAAACCACCGGACATTCTGTCTGACCTAAGTGAAACTGAGGTTTATTGTTTGTCCGACTCCAGTGTATTGGTGTCCAACCGAACAGTAGTTTGTCTGATGTAAATCAAAGTGTACCCTAGCCCCGGACTAGAGGCTCGACTATTTAAATGGAAAATCAGAGTGATGTGTAAAGAGTGACCTGGAAATGTTGTTTTAATGCAATCGAGGGTGGGGCGGCGAGCGAAATGGTAAGTAGAAAACAGGCTTATTGCTCAAGTTGACAAAGTCTTACTGCTCTTTTTGGCAAGCAAGTTAATTTGGCTTGGAAACCAGTATGATAGCCTGCTTGCCGCCTGGAATTTCCAAGGGGGGATAATTCCAGTCTGCTAAACTGCAGGCATAATCGTGTTCCATGACGTAGCACTTACAAGGATATAAGTAGCGTTCGTTGATTGGTTCATAGCCTGATTATATTTTGGGTTATGTAAGAAATTCCGTGATTGGTTCAAAATTCAAAATATTATAATTTAGCAGTGATTAAATATTTTATACTAAAAGCAAAATGGCGTCGACAAAATACACTCGCTCTTTTCCAAATGATCGTTGGAATGACGCTTTAGCAAGTGTTTGTTCTGTGTTTACCATCAAAGATCTTTATTCAGAGCAAAAAGAAGCCTTGGAGAACTTTTTTGCTGGTAAACATGTGAATTTACCAACCACGTTTGGAAAATCATTGATTTACCAAGCTATTCCAGTTATGGATGATTCCGTCAAACTTCGAACAAAGCGTAGCGGAATAATTGTCGTAATCTCGCCTTTAAAGTCTTTGATGATTGAGCAGGTCGCATTTTTAAATAGCATCGGTTTGCCGTCGGTTTCTCTAACAGATGCTGAATGTGAAAATGTAAAGGTGATCCAAGATGTTATCCATGGGAAGTATTCGCATGTTTTTCCTCGCCTGAATGCCTTCTTTCCGTCAACGTTTGGAGGGGTATATTTGCATCTGAGCAGTTTAAAGAAAACCTTATTGGTGTTGCAATCGATGAAGCACACTGTATAAGTCAATGGTAAGTTGCAAATATATTAGCAAACATGCAAGAACTGTATGTTTTCTTGAAGCTTGCCCGGTGTGGATATACACTCAGAGTAACATCACAAACATATTATTCACCTGAGTACACAACACCAACACAGAAAAATATCATATTACAAGATTACATTGGTATCGAAGGAACTAGATTCTGTTCCGAAATATCACTTACTCGAACCGTCCTGACCGCGTAGTAGCTCAGTTGGCAGAGCATTGGGCTAGTGTTCCAAAGGTTGTAGGTTCGATTCCCACCGTGGCCGGGCATATTTTTCAAGCTCGCCCGGTGTGGATATACACTCAGAGTAACATCACAAACATCATGTATGTAAATATGTTTGTAAAACAGACTTGCATATGAGTTTGAAATATCTGTTGAAATAGCTGTTGCTGAAGTAGCCTGCTTACAGGCTATATTATATTCTGGTAAAATTGTTTCCATGTAAACCAACTGAAAATAACCTAGTTTGTAGTTGTGCATTTACTGCACAGTACACTTGCACACTGCATAGTGAATGAGCAAGCCAGTGAATGATATAAAATAGAATATATAGAGTTCTTTGTTCTTTGTAGGGGAATGTCAAATAGTGAACAAGGGATAAAAAAGATTCCCTTCCGAAAGTGGTATGGAAATCTTGGTGAGCTGATGTCTCTTGTTCCAAGTAACACCAATTTTGTGGTCCTCACTGCCACTGCGATGCAAGAAACGACTGATTGCATTTTTGAAAGTTTAAAGCTACCACCAACGAAAACCCATACTGTAAAGCAAAGTCCTGATCGCCACAACCTACGATACAGTGTCCAGTACATTGATAATAATATACCCTTAAAAATGGTTTTTGCTGGCCTCCTCAATGACATGAATGAGAAAGGAGTGGAAGCGGACCGAACATTGATATACTGTCAAACCCGAAAGCATTGCGGTTTATTATATCGTTTATTCGAGATACATCTGAAAGATAAATTTTACCATGGCTGTGCTAAACCCAAGAATCGAGTTGTTGAAATGTATCATGCATCAACTCCTGATAATGTGAAAAAGCATATCATTGAAAATCTCAGTGATGAAAGTGGGCATATACGCATCTTAACCTCTACAATTGCATTTGGGATGGGTGTTAATTGTAAAAGCGTTCATTGTGTTGTACATTTTGGGCCTTCTAAAAATATGGAATGTTATGTGCAAGAGAGTGGGCGAGCCAGTCAGGATGGAAAGCCAAGTAATTGCATCATCCTTTATAATGGATTGCTAGCTAGTTATTCTACTCCTAAAATGAAGAAACTCCTCGCTAATGAAACATCAGAATGTTTGCGTCAATTGATATTTGCGGATTTCGATATAGGTAGCTGTCATTTTGACTTACCTCATCAGTGTTGTGATGTTTGTGCACAGACATGTCAATGTGGTAACAGTGATTGTGGAAAAATACCAGTCATAAGTTGTGATCAAGATGATGATGACAATGATATTCCAACAATTATCCGATCAGTGACAACAGAAGATAAGGCAACACTGAAAAGTCTTCTAATGTCATACAGAATGCAACTGATAGAGATGGAGGTGAACACTATGACCTCCTCTCTTGGCATTCCCAATGTTTTTCTTGAATTTGGAGGAATGCAGATCTCCCAAGTCCTCAACACCTGCCACAAACTATTCACAATTGATGACGTAGTTGAGAATGTGGAAATTTGGAGGAAAAATCATGCTCTAGGAATTTTAGAAGCTATTAAACATGTTTTTAATGACATTGACATAGATTTGGATTTGTCTGCAGTTGAGGATGAGGGATTGGACATTAACATGAATTGGGAAGAAGTCAGGGATGATTCTAGTTTTCTGAACATGGTCAATTCGCAATCTATGGAGTGGAGCCAAACAGACACCTCTGCAGACACTACTTTAGTGGAAAACCGTAGTGACTTCTTCAAAGCTTTAGTACACAAGCACATAATTATTGACATTGCATTGGCAGAACAAGGCCACAAATTACTGTAGGACATTGGACAATGTCCGACTAAATTTGGCAAATGTCCGAGCGAAAGTAATTTTGATTGGACATTGGTCCAATCATACAAAAAAATGTCACTTTATACATCTCTTGCCGTGACAAAATCCGATTTCAAATTCACTCAATTTGCATTTTGCAATAAAATTTACGAGGCATTCTAGCATTTTACTTAAGTTAATGTCGTTGGAATGGCTATACATACTTGTCTTGTGACATATATATATATATATATATATATATATATATATATGTATCTTGTGACATATATATGTCTGACCAAAATTAAAAATGATTGGACAAATATTTGCGACCCAACTATCAATTTCTATTAACGCCAACTATTAATGTAACCCATTAAGGTGCAACATTTACTTTAGAAGAGATATAATTTGGGTATCAACCCCTATTACCCACAGAATAGGGCTTGGCACAATTTGCCTCTGGACCATGGGTTGCCTGACCATCTTGTGGCCGGGAAATCTGATTGGTTGATTAGGCATGAGATATTTCTATTGGTTGCTTAAAAATAACAAAGCCAAGATGACAACTGCAAAAGTCATCTTTAAGGTTTTATCAAATTTAGTGTCAATCATATTTATCTCTGTCAATGCATAAACATTAACATGTGGATGGCCCATGGATTAGGCACAAATTGTGTCAAGCCTTATTCCAATAATAGAGATTGATACTCGGCAGATTGGGGGAAATCCTTCCTTAAAAATTCAGGCTGCAAGAAGGCTAACTTGACCAATAAGATGCAAGAGTCTTAAAGCTATAAATACATTGGGTTGCATTGCACCTTGAAAGATTACTTTTGTAAATAGACTCCAGATGATGTCAATCAGTATCATATGTAAAATACAGATTAGGTGTGTTGCAATTAAATTTAACATAAATTATCAGTGTGCTGCTAAAACGTTTATGCAACCAGAGTACAAGGTTCTCTACCTAGCCTTTCTATGTAGGATCATATATTGTTTATGATCATTGATCCAACTAAAGTATTTTTGCAAGTTAAAGCCAGATAATAAAGTTGGCTCAACTTTCGAGAAGCAACCATAACTTCTACCAGGTGTTATGGTCAACGCATTCTGTGATAAAAGTTCACTGATTATCTTTTCCATGTCAGCCTTTTCCGACTTGCAAACATGCTTCCCTGATCTTTTATACAACAACATTGATTCATCAAAATTGTCTGTGAGTTGCTTTGTTATGCCCAATGCATGGGAAAACTCTGTTGATAAATTCTAGGGCAAGATCTAGAGGAATGTTGCCACCCATTGTATTCTTGCGTTTGGAAAATCTGTTCCAAGTAAGTTGATGGACAGCTTTTGGACTCAAAAGTGCATTTATCTGGAAGAGCAGATAAAGGCCTTCCAAAGCATACTTATAGCTACCTTTGTCATGATGCAGATACAATAAAAGAAATTTCTAATAATTCTAGCACCATCACCTTCTGAAATTGCATCAAAGAAATTTAGGATGACCATACCATAATCGAGGAGAGCTTTCTGATAGTTATACATGTCATCTTGAACGACATCATCATGGATTTCAGTGAGAAGAGGTTGCTCTTGTATACTGACAGGTGGACTATGAGACTGTGTCTCCACTTTCCATCAGATTGGAAAGTTTTCTTGCAACCTGGAAAATGACACTTGTACCGACCGTCAAGTGTTCTATCCTTTGAATCCTGAAGCTCTCTCTCTTCCAACTGTTTGACTGCTTTAGCAATTTTCTTGTGCTTTACTTCATCAAGGATGTACTTATCAACAATGGAAGTGGATAACTTTGTCAAATACTCTTTCTTATCTTATCTTTGTTATTCCATGTTTCTACATTGTTCAAGGTATCTGGCTCTTCTTCTAAGCTTTCCATTCCTAATTCAATCATGCCAGCAGCAACAACACGTGACTGGATTTCCAGGGTAAAGAAACGGCGGTTGGCATTAACCGCTGAATCTACATCCTTCTTAACTGAGCGACGATTGATAAGGTTTATTATTATTATTATTATTAATCTTATTTAATCACGGTAGCCTTTCAGAAGTACATCTGTTTTTCAAAGGGCCGTGAGTTCATTAAAATATTTACATAATTGGAGAGAAAAAAAAAAGAAAAAAAAGGAAATCTAAAAGCGAGAAAAACAGGCCACTTACATAAACTATTTACATGGATGCAATTAATTACACTATAGATTAGGACCAATGGATTAGGACATACGTTTTATGACATTCTTAAAGGAGTTGACAGAGACATCTTCTATTAATGCTTGATCAATAATATGATTAGGTAGGTTATTCCAACTCATAGCTCCTCGATAGGGAAAGCTATTTTTTTGAAAATTTGTCTTTGGCTTAGGTAGGTAAATATTTCTATTGTTGCTACGTAATTGATAGTTGCCGTTTTCGTTCAAGTTAATTGTCTGCATTAGGTAGTCGGGCACTAGACCTTTAAGGGCCTTAAATATCATTACAAGGTCGCGCTCGTCTAAGTTGTCTTTTATAGGTCTCCAGTTTAAGGTTTCAAAAATGTTAGTTGATCGTATGTCGTAACTGGATCCTGTTATTACACGAGCAGCCCTTTTCTGTAACTTATATAATTTATTAATGTGATCAGCGCGAAAGCCATGCCACACAGTTGAGCAGTAGGTAAAGTGAGGAAATACAAGTGAATTATACATTGTAATTAAAACATCTTGTGTAACAAAATCTCTAGCTCTTCTTAACATTCCGATACGTGCTGAGATTGTTTTACATTGTTTACTGTTATGTTCTTCCCATTTTAATTGTTCATCTATAATTATGCCTAAGGATTTTGTGCTTTCAACTCGTCTTATTTGCTCGCCTGCGATTGATATGTTTGTAGTATTTGTGCCAATAGAATTTATTTTTTGTCGTGAGCCAATAATCATGTATTCAGTTTTTTTACGGTTTAAAGTCAGCTTGTTTGCGGTTAACCATGTGTGAATTATTTCTAAATCGTGATTCAGTTTACTCTCTATATCTGCGGATGATAGTCCGTTACATGATAGGCTTGTATCATCCGCAAACATTGTGGCGCTTGTTGTTACAAGGCAATTTGGCAGATCATTTATATAAAGGAGAAATAGCAACGGGCCTAGATTTGTCCCTTGAGGAACTCCGCAGGTAATTGTTCTTATATCCGACATTTTTTTGTTAATTTTACATATTTGCTGCCTCTTCCTTAAATATGACTGAAACCATTTGTGTGCTGTACCCTTTATTCCATAAGCTGTCAATTTAGATAAAAGAATATTGTGGTCCACCGTATCGAATGCTTTTTTTAGGTCTAAGAATAGTACACCATTAATGAGACCTTGGTCCATGTTTATTAACCATTCATTTGTTAAGCTCAGTAGTGCAGTTTCAGTTGAATGGAGTGATCGAAACCCTGACTGGTTTGGTGATATGATACAGTTTTCGTCTAAATAATCAAGTATTTGTGTATAGACAATTTTCTCGAAAATCTTTGCAATTGTTGAAATTACTGAAATAGGTCGATAGTTTCCACAGTCTGATTTTTCACCTGATTTATAGATAGGGGTAACCTTGGCGACTTTCCAATCTTCTGGAAAAATTCCAGTACTTAACGATAGGTTGAATAGATGATTTAGGGATGGTATTATGCTGTCGCCAGCTTCCTTGACCAATTTTGTAGATACGTTATCAAGACCTGGTGACTTGTTAGTTTTGAGGTTCTTAACCACTTTTATTAGCTCATCATAGGTTATGGCATGAAATTCAAATGAAGTTGACACTGGAGTGACATAACTCAAAGGATCAGTATTTGTAATGGGGATGTTACTAGCTAGTGTAGGCCCAACTGAACAAAAATAGTCGTTAAATTCCTGGGCTATATTTACATCACCGGTTATGTCAATCCCATTGACCTCCACTTTATTAACCGTAGTGGATTTGGAGTGTTTATTTAAAAGTTTATTAATAGTTTGCCAACACTCTTTACTATTTTTGCAATCTTTCAGCTTGGCATTAAAATATTCAGTTTTGCATTTCTTAATGAGTTTCGTAACTTGATTTCGGCATTTTTTATAAGCCTTATGGTAGTATTCAGAGTTTAATCTGACGGCTTTCTTTTTGAGATCATCTCTTTGATAGGAAAGAGATTTAATTTGATCTGTTAGCCATGGTGCATGAGCACTTTTAACTCTGCGGGTTTTAATAGGTGCATGAGTATTGGCAACGTCTAGAAAAATTGTTTTCCATTCATTCCATGCAGTGTTTGGTTCAGCAGTAAAGCTGTACGTTTTAAATGTTTCCTGTAAGTCATGCTGGAACGCTGCCGTGTTAAAATTTTTGAATTGCCTTGTCTCGACTATTTTTGGAGGCTGTTTAGGGATACTCACTTTACGGCAAATGTATACAAGGTTGTGATCACTAATCCCCAAGTCTATCACCCCGCTATCAATAGTTTTTGTATCTTCTACTTTAGTGATCATCAAATCTATTAATGTTTTGCTATTTAAGGTAGTTCTTGTTGGTATCTGTATATGTTGCTGTAATTGATATATGTCTAAAAGGTCTGTGAGTTTTTTAGTAGGTGCGTCTTTGTTTGTTGAAAGTAAATCACAGTTAAAGTCGCCGGTGATAACTAAGTCTTTGTTTTCATTCTCCATTAAATGCAGATTATTTTCAAATTTTTCAAAGAGTTCAATAGGGGAGTTTGGTGGTCGATACCATGTAGATATCAGAAAAGGTTTACTTTTAGGTTTTTTAATCTCAACACAAATTGACTCTAAGTCTTGGACGAGTAAATCGTGTCGCTGGATATAAGGAATATTATTTCTGATGTAAATGGCAACTCCTCCGCCGTGCCTATTTCTATCACGGCGTATTATGTCATATCCACTAATCCTGACATCTCGGTCATTGAAACTTTCATCTAGCCTTGTTTCGTTAATTGTAATTATATCAAAAGATAGTTCATTGATAACTATAGTTAGTTCGTCTAAGTGTTTTGGCAAGCTAGCTATGTTAAGATGGCCTATTTTAAAGCCCTTTAGTTTCGGATACGAGTGCTGTTCATAAATAGATGATGAAATAGATTCATGATTTGAAACGTCTAGATTTGCTTCTATGTCTAAATTTACTTTTAATTGTCAATGTTTTATACAGTCAATTAAATTTCTAGCTAGGGTGGACGTACCTCTAGCATTTAAATGAAGCCCAGTAGCATTCAGGTGACTTTTACTAATGTTGATATGTTTAATAAACAACCAGTTATTTTTTAAACATAAGTTAGCCAACAAGTTATTTGTAGTACTAATTTTCGCATTAAGGTTATCGTCACTTCGAGTGATCAGACTTGATATAATAACTCGACACTTTGAATTTTGCTCTATATGTTGACCAAGATCATTTAGTTTACTTACTATTTCTTCGGGTCGATCCCTTGGGATGTTATTTGTTCCAGCGTGGACAATGATTGCTTTAGGACTTCTCTTTAACGTAGGTTCAACATAATGTTTCATATCTTCAATAGTTGCTCCAGAAAACGTGCGAATAATCACCCTTTTATTGCTGTCTATAGAGCGTCGTACTCTGTTTACGTCTAGCCGCTTTAACATTGAATCTCCAAGGATTGTAACGGAATCAAGGTCGTGGATTGTTGATACATTGCTGGAATTGCAGTCGACTTTGTTGAGGGGATCGCTAGTTGTTTTCTTAGACTTTTGTGTCTTTGAGTCGTGCTTTCGGCCATGGCTTGTTGGTCTTGCCTCGTCGGCACTTATGATTTCTTGCTCTGACTCGTCTGCCGTCTCAACTTCTAACGGAGAATAACGGTTTGAACCCAGAACGTTTACCAGATTAGGGCCTGCGGCGGTAGTTTTAAGATTATCTTGTTTCGATGATGAATTTCCATTAATATTTCTACTCTTTGGTCTTGAAGCGACTTCTTTGTAGGTATTCTGTGGTAGGTGCTTTGTTGTCATGATGTTATTGTTGTTGCTTAACTTGACATCGCCATCGGACTGTATTAATCGGATAGCAGTTAAAAGGCTAGCCTTTTCGTCTTCGGCGATCTTTAATTTTGTATTGAGGTCGGCCAGGATGAATTCAAGATTATTCATTCTCTCAGTTAGATCTGTATTTTCACATCTCAAACGCTTGTTTTCATCGCGAAGACTACCTGTTCCTGATGCATCATTAGACATTTCAGTTTTGTAGTCTTCGAATTTGCATTGTAAAGTATTTAGTTGCAGTCTAATGTCTTGAATGGCATTCTCGTAGGAATAGGGGTGTTTATAATTTGGGTATAGTTCATGCAGCGAAGATTGGTTTTCGTCTTTGCTATGATCCTGTTCATCGTCCTTACAGTCGTCTTGTTCTTCGTCTTGGGCCAATTCCATATTTCCTTCACTAAAGTTTCCAGTTTCTATCACTAAACATGGTACATTTATCAGCTGCTGACACTGGGTTGTACAAATGGGAAAATAGCACCGGTTAGGAAACATTTGTAGACATTAGAATACAGTAATCCTGAAAGAATATTTTTATAGATTCAGTTATAATAATTTGTTATTTTCAGTCTTTTAACAATAAAGACCTGGGCAAACTAGGAAACAATGTCGCGGAAACATTGTTTCTTGCCAATGTTTCGCCATGTTTCCAAGATTGGGCTAACACTAGGAAACATTAGTGAGAAACATATGGAAACATCAAATGTTTCTGAATTTGAAAACATTTTTGCTTCTCGGGAAGAAAATTTTGTTTTGACTCACAACAATGTTTCCACAGGTCGGCAAACAGGGAAACATTCAAGCAAACATCAAGAATCACAAATGTTTCCACAATGTTTCCTAGTTTGCCCATGGCTTAACATTGATATAAAGCAAACAGATGATATATTCTGCTCTTGTCTGTCCATTGTTAGATGCATAGTACGAGGGTTGGGGGGCTTATAGTCGGAGGTTTATGGTATTGTACTTTTTGTATTTACTGTTTCATAATTTTCATAATATTATGAAGGTAGGGCATTTGAATGCTTATTTTTTTGTTACAGTGGGGCATGTGAAAACATTTGTTGCATAGGAGGTGGAGAATTTGATAAGTCAAATTTCAAAAAGTTTAAATTCCCAGGGTCGGCCAAGGGGAGGGGGGAGGCCATGTTGAAATTTTCAAATTGATCAGTACATAATTGACACTAATTATAATTCCATGCACATCCATATTATTTGTACGCTATTATATACTTACATTCAGGTAATATAAACAAGCCTCCAAGCGCAGTGCGCAAAATTTAAACAATTCTACATTTAATGCGCCCACAAAAGCAGCCAAACCAAAAATATCAAAACTGAACGAGACACCGGTAAAGATGGCAGAAGAGGAAAAGGAGAAAGGAATGAAAATAGATGAAATTCATGGCATGTTGAAAATCGTGATGACAAAATTAGAAAAGCTAGACGTGATCGAAGAAAGAATAAAATCAGTGGAAGAAGATATGAAAGGTGTGAAACACTCTATCGAGTTTGCGCACACAGAAATAATGGAAATAAAAGAGGAACAAAAAGGAGTGAGAGTGAACGAGAAAGAAACAAGAAAACAGAGAGAAAATCGAGGCAGAAAACGCTGAATTATTCAGTAGCATTGTTGACCTTAAAGCAAGGTCAAAGAGAGATAACCTCATATTTTTCAATATTCCTGAGTGTGAGAGGGAAAATACAACCGCAACTGTACTGACCCTATTGGAAGAGAAGTTTGAGATGAAGGATGCAACGACCAAAGTCAAAACTGATCGATCGCACCGTTTGGGAAAGAAAAGGGAAATGAATGCGAAGCCGAGACCGATTGTGGTCAAATTCAATTTCTATCAAGATAAAGAATATATCAGACATAACGCAAAAAAATTAAAAGGCACAAAAATTGGAGTTTCAGAACAATTCCCTGAAGAGATAGAGGCCCTGTTTACACTATACCGGATTACTTTTCATACCGGATTAAATTTTATTCCGAAGTAAAAAAACAAGGGTTTTTACACTATGCCGCTTCGCTCTGTTGCCAGCTCATGTCTTTCACTGTCGCCATGGAAACAAGTAGCCAATATACCAAAATTTATTAAAAACAAGAACTAACACCCATTTTCTTTGTAAAGTATAACTTTGTTTAAAAAGCTTGACCACCAGACGTTGCTTCGTTTCGCTCTAATCCAAAATTGACGAGTATTTCTTTAAATTTTGCTCTTTCGAAAGTGAAATGTCAATGTTATTATCGTTTTCTTTATTTGTATTCGGCAGAAATAGTTTATGGTTGTAATGCGAAACAAACAACAGCTATAAAGTATTGTAAAAGCGAGCAAATAAAGGCGACAATATTAAAACATACACGCCAAAACCGATTTTGTACCGAAGCGTACCGGATTAGCCTGTTTACACTGCTCCGGCACATACCGGATTACTTTTTATATCACCTCCAAAGCGGAGTGATTTTTATGCCGCGTCACGTACCAGATTACTGTGCCATAGTGTAAACAGCAGCCGAATCCGGTATGAAAATCGAGACGCTCCGATGCAATCCGGTATAGTGTAAACGGGGCCAGAGAGAGTGAGAAAAGAATTGTACCCTGAACTTAGAAAAGCCAAAGAGGAAGGTAAAAGAGCGAAGATTGTGAGAGACAAATTGATTATTGAAGGGAAGGTTTTTAATCGGACATGAATACTTATTAAGTTACCGTATCCTTTTTACCATTCCAGTTATTCTACTATAATACATCTTATACATGATTTTATGGATGTAATTTTAAACAGAAAATCTTTTAATGTTTGACAATATCTATCAGAAGAAATGTTCTTCTTGTCTTAAAATTATTGGGAAAAAACAAAAATCTATTGAATGTATTACATGTCACAAGTGGTATCACGCTAAGCCCGCTTGACAATGCGGAAATTGAGTTATGCAAAAATTGCATTGACAATGCCTTGCCATTTCAATCACTAGATGATTTAGAATATGAATTGAATATCACAAAACAGAGAAACCTTAGTCAGGAAGATATGGATAGACTAAATCAACTAAAATTCAACCCGTTTCAATCAAGTAATGATTTAGAAACGTACGATCCTTCTTTTGACTTCATCAAAATAAAATGTGATTATTATCTACCAAATGAAATTGAAACAAAAGACAACAAAAAGAGTTATTTCTCTTTACTACACTTAGGCATAAGGAGCATATCTAATAAATTTGACTCATTTAAACACCTACTCAATTCCCTAGGAAAACCTTTTAAATTAATAGGCTTAACAGAAACGTGGCTAAACGATAAGAACAACGATAATTTTAAACTAGAAGAATACGATTACATAAGCTCAAATAGAGTTAACAAAAAGGGAGGGGGTGTTGGAATATACGTAACAAAAGAAACAAAATATACAATTCGCAAAGATTAAAGGTTTTTTATCGAAGATGCAATTGAATCCATTTTTATTGAAACAAGACGCTCTCTCGAGCGTTAAGTTGCTGGGGCTTTTTAAATAGGCGCCTGCCTGATTTGCAACGAGCGGTAAGAGTATATTCAACGATTTGTGGGCTTGATTTGTAATGTATACAGCAAATTTAATTAACTAAGGGATGGACCATCAGAAAAGTGATGGGGGGGGGGGATTTCTAAGAGGCAATATTTTTTTTTGTACACCTATAGAAGAAATTTTCTTTTCTCACTTGATGGCTGGAAATATATTTTTTTATTAAAATTTATAGGGCTATCTTCCAAGAAAGGAATTTTTTTTGCACTCTGCCTGGGAAGATTTTTCCCCTTAATTTTTTCCTGGGAATAAATTTTTTTTGGTCCCCCCCCCCCCATCGGTTTTCTTATGGTCCGTCCCTAAGGTCGTCCTTTCAATGAAATGGAATCTCACAATCAGGTCCGTTGCACAAGAGTTCATCATATCGCTGAACTGAAGAATTCCTACAGTCATAAAAGAGATCCACTGAAGAATTCCTGTTAATACCCATGAAGAGAGACCCTGGAAGAATTTCAATTTTTACATTTGACCCCTGAGAAAATCTCATTCAAAATATCCATTACCGGATTACCTCCAAAGAATTCGACACAGAAAATATTTGCTTATCCCTGAGGAATTCCAAAGCTAAAAATTTATCACCTCATTCCAGCAGAATTGAAAGCTGGAATAGCCCATTTTGTGCTGGCACTGTGGCACAAGTGTTCATACTTGGGCCTTGGGCTATAATAACCCTTATTCATATTTGAGGATAAATACAGATTTGTATATTTTTATTTTAACTTGTTTATAACAAATTTTAAAACACAAAAATTGTTTATCAGACAGTTAAGGACTAAGGACTCATTTGTGAATTAACTCATTGAGTGACAGCACTCTCTCCCTGATGAGTAAAATCCTTGGCATTAGACACAGTAAAATAATAAAGTAGGTCACATGAGGGTACATTGCCACTTAAAGGGTTATATGATATGGACAATCGCATATATTGACTATTGGTGCGGAATTTAGCTTTTTGCACCTAACTGATGCATGCGATAGACAGTGGTTATATTTCTCCCCAGGGCCGTAGCAATCAGGGGGGGGGCTGTTTAAAATTGTAAATTTCGACATACTAAAATGCTGTTTTCTGACCATCAGAATTCTGTCAAATCTTTCCCAAAGTTCAGGAAATGGCATTTCAGACACTCTAAATTTAAAAATTTCCTTGGGCCTTTGGCCATTGCTTTCAGTTCCCCAATCAAAAAGAGCTTCCCACAGCACTGCATTCCCTGAGCTATTGGCATTAAAATTTTACATAACTTTATATTAGCAGTCAGTGGTGTAGAACTGAATCGCTAACAAAGAGGGCCCTCAAAGAGGGAGGGGATGACAAGACGTGGGGTAACCAGGCATTGAGGGTGCAACATGGTAAATATAGATACTGTAGTTCCAGCATTCACTTTTGGTTCTAGCAATTCTTCAATTGGTGATTTTTAACTAAAGGGCTTAATTAACATCAAATAATACACTCCAAAATATTGAAGCTATTACATGTTAGAGCCACATAAATATCATCAAATGGTTAGATCATAGTAAGGTACAGATTACTGCTAGACTATAAATTTTGCAATCAGCAAAAATATTGCGAGGTTAATCTTCCCAAGTTGACATTAAATTTTTAACAAGGGGACCCCTGTTTGCAATCTATTAAATAAGCAAATAAGATACAAGTAAAAATCATGAATACATGATGCAGTTTACAACAAGAACATGGGAGTTTTTAAGCTAATAGTTCAGTCCTATAACCAGAATAATATTCTTATTCTGAATAAGTGGACCTTATGTAATGTTAACATAATACAGCCAATGGCTGCAAGGTTTAATTATCAATTAAAAATATCTATCTATCTAAGAAATACCAATCCAAGATTGTGTGTCACATACCTCG